TCATTCCCATCTGCAGCAATGACAGGTACTTCAGCACCACACCTCACTTGACTCCAGTTTCTCACTCAACCACAACAGGATAACAGGATTGGCGACTAGAGTGAATCGACCACATGATGGAGAAGCAGCAGTGAACGGTGCGGTGGTGCAGCGCGCGGGTGCAAAGGTGTCGGTTGACAGGGCAGGCATTGCCTTCTCGCACCAACCATCGCACTTACATTGCCATGAAGTAGCCCAACCACTGCACCGACGTCCACCATCCTCTTTCACCCTCTCGTCAACTCCCACTTCCCCTCCCACCTCATTCACCATTCGTATGTCAACCAACCCATCCACACACACTCCACACGCCACCATATGGCCAACCCTGCAAGACACACATCTGGAGCCATGCCTGCAGGCAAGTGTGAACCAAACTTACATGCCTCCACACCACTACGACCACCGTCCGCGTCATTTTGACCCATTGTTGACGGACGTTGCAACGCAACGGTTGCATCATAGCAACAACTGTCGTTGCAGCTGCACGTGAACAAAAGGACTGACCGTGCAAATCCACCAGTAGTTGGGTTATCAACCAGATGACCTTTTCGATCCACTGTGCTGCATTGGTTCTCCTCATCCACCCTCTATCCACTCTCTCCTCCATCCCGTTGGACTGCATTCAAGTTATTCCTCGCCTTCAGCAGCAACACCCAAGACACACATTCCTAGTGACCGAATTCCTGAGCAAACGTCGAATTGCAGCATCATTGCATTTAAGAAGAGAGGGGTGGGTGCCAAAAGGCACAAATGACCAAACTCAACTTTGATGGAGCCCCACTTATGCCTGTCCAAGAGAACACTCCCCTCAACTGACGATGATGTCGATGTCGATGTCGCAGAGTCGATTGCACCAATGGACAGAATCGTATCTAGAGAGCATATTCCATGCCATTGTCTCCCAAGTCAGCAGTTCCGACAGACATGCTGCAGCTATCACTTGACGCCCTCTCCAGTCACAAAAGCCATTGTAGTCGCGTACGTTGGTAGCGGGAAACGGTAGTGTGATGCTCCTGCTGCCCCTGTGGCCAAAAGAGGCATGACTTTGGGGTGAGAAGTGCATCGGTGGAGCGAGAGTGGGTTGGAGGATACGGATGCAGTGGAGCAACATGGGGTTGAAAGTGAGCACAGGAGTGGAACGAGGGTGTCAGTCGGCACTCCGTGACGAGCACAAATGCAAGCATTCGTTAAGTCGGCACAGGCGTAACGACGCCCTGCTTATCCTCTTTCCCAAAAACTCAAAATGGCGGTGGTGCTCGAAAACGGCAACACAGTGCGCTGTGTTCCGCGAATCTCGTTTCTATTGTGAACCGTGGTGCAACCCCTAATTGATCAGCTTCCTGACGCTGCAATAGCAGCATGAGGCTGCGAGATAAGGAGCTGTTTACTCAGCACCCTACTTGTTTGCAGTACTCTACTGCAGGTGGAGTTGCCAACTTGTCGCCGCGCCAGCGTCCGCGCGGGCATTTACGATTACTGAAAGGCATTCACCTCGTGCACACGACAGTGGTTTTGGAAAGCAGATAGAACTGGCTTCACACGACACAACTTGTTTTCCACTCCACTCTGACCACAACGAGGCCTTCCACCCATGGTCAAATCATGACAATGGGACGTGCAAGAGCACTCCGGAAGGAGGGATGCCAGTGATGCTTCTCAGTGATTGAGGGGACTGCACAAAATGTATGCAGTAAATGCGGTAGATGTTGTACACCTACAGCAGAATGATTCGCCTTCCCAAACTGTGTTTATGGCACACCACATCGTTGTTGTTGTTGTGGTGGTGGTGGTGGTGGTGGTGAGAAATATTATGTTGAGTGTGCATGACCTAGTGTCTGCACGTACGGAGGATCATTCAGGAAGTCGGTAAATGAAGGATATATGTGTTGCTACGAAGGCGATTGTTGGTGCAGTAAAGGGAATGGTAATTGTGTGGGTGTGAGTGGGGGCAGGCAGGCAGGCAGGCAGGTGGGGTCGTAGGAGAGCCGGAAGTGTGCCTCGCTTCTGATGCGGCGAGTGGATATGGCAGTGGCATGGGATGAGGAGGAGGAGGAGGAGGAGGAGGAGGGTGAAGAGGCTCATAGAGAGTGTGGGAGCACGGGCATGGAAGCAGTGTGAGGAGGAGGAGGAGGAGGAGGTAGAAGAAGAGCGTAGTAGGAAAGGGATGAAAATGAGGGAGGGTTGTAGCGTAAGTAAGGTGGTGAGTGGCGTGTCGCGATGGCCGAGTGGTTAAGGCGATGGACTCGAAATCCATTGGGGTCTCCCCGCGCAGGTTCAAATCCTGCTCGCGACGGGCATCAACAACTTTTCACTTTCTCTCTCTTTCAATGCACCTGTTGCCCCGCACTTTCTCTCTCCTAACGTTTGCTTCGTGGAGGTATCTCTCCCGTGTTGTTAGGTCATTTGAGCTGGTCGGTGTGCATGCTTCTGTTCCGCAGTCTACACCTCACACTTCCACTTCCCTTGTCCTACTTACACTCACCTATTATTATTGCTACAAGACATTGCACCACGCCGAGTGATACAGTGCAGCAGGTCTCATCTGTATCGTCACCACCATCAGCGGCATTAGCAGCAACAGGATACTTGACCACTGCGCCATCATTGCGGCCACCGTCTCCTCGGAAATTGCTGCACAACAGCAATTGCCCTTTCGGCGCGGGTGTGCTGGCCACGATTGCACCGATGCAGTGGCACACTGCGCCAGCACACGCATACAGAAAAGGGGGGGGGGAGGCTTGCGGGTGCTGGTGGCCTTCATCGCCTCCCATGGTGCATGGCGTGTTCACGGTTGGGGGTGGAGGAGAGGGTGAGAACTTGCTCTCAGACAGTTTCGTAGGTTGGCATTGAACGGGGGTGGGCATTGGGTTAGAGAGTGTTGAGGTGTGGTGTCACGTTGCGTGAGGGAATGGATACTCGTCGCACTGGAGGTAGAGAGGTAGGATGGAGGAGGCAAGGAGAGCACGATGTGTGGAGTGTGAGTGCACGGTGGAAGGTGGGGTTGGTGGGTGAGGGAAATGATGATGAGGAGGGGGGAGTGGGTGGGGGGAAGTGAATGGTAAGAAGAGAGGAGAGGAAAGGTGAAGTTGGGCTGTGTTAGTGTGCGGCGTAGAGGGGGGCAAAAAATCTCATTAATAATGATGGTGGCACGTCGCGATGGCCGAGTGGTTAAGGCGATGGACTAGAAATCCATTGGGGACTCCCCGCGCAGGTTCAAATCCTGCTCGCGACGAGTGCCGCTGCTTTTCACTTTCTCTCCTCCCTTTTCTCCACTCCCACACCCCCTACGCGTAAGCCGCCTACGCCTCTCCTCTCCGCCCCCACTGTTATGGCTGAGTTGGGACAATGCTCCGCCTGCATGCTACAGGCACAGGGAAGGCCAGGTTTTTGCACGAATGACAGCACTACAGACCTCAGGTTCAGGTTCCGCATCCGAGCTGTGTCGATTCTTTATAGGTTTGTGTCTCGTCGTGCCGACTGCAGCAGTCGTTGGCGGGAGGAGGGAGGATTGCGGAGGTGGGGCAGTGCATGGTCGACGATGAGCGAACAATGGGAAGAGGAGGTAGTGGTGTGTTATCTGCCACCTGTCTTGACTTGGTGTGCAGTTAAAAGTGCGTTTCGCGTGGCATTGAGGAATGGGTGGTGCAGAGGTGGCGGTGATTGTGGAGTGGTAATGTTGATAAGAAAGGGAAAGTGTGATATGTGGTGAGGATGAGTGGGCATAGTGAAAGAGAAAAGAGGTGGTGGGTGTAGAGGAGTGGTGTTGGGGTGTTGTATGGCAAATTAAGACATAAGGTGGCGTCGCGATGGTCGAGTGGTTAAGGCGATGGACTTGAAATCCATTGGGGTATCCCCGCGTAGGTTCAAATCCTGCTCGCGACGTATCTCCTGTCGCTTTACTCACCTTTCCCTACGCCTCTCGCCTCCCACCTCCGTCCATACCTCCTCTGCACGTCTTTCCCTCTTGGCCTTCAGACTGGGTTGGATCCTCGTTGTGGGTCACTTTGCACCCTTGTCACTCTCCTCTCTTAGTCTACAAATCATAATTGCGAATTCCTCAAACTCCGCCACATTCTGTTCAGTGCTTTGCCACTCCTCAGGACTAAGAGGAACCACCATTGTGCAGTCGGTGTTGGCAGCAAGACTCGTGAGTGTGGAGGTGTGTCTGGCTTACCTCGCATCAACTACTTCGCCTTCGTCTTCTCCAACATTATGCACACAATGCACACCATCCACTACGAAGTCGCATTACTTTCTACTGACAAAAAGCAAGTTGCATGATGTATGGGATTGTGGTTGTGTGTTGGCATGCTAAACAGAGCACCACGGATTGACGCTCAATTGCCTGGAATTGGAAGCTCTAAATCCATTCACTCCGACTCCCACTGACTAGATGAGCGTGGATTGAGGTGACGAAATCTGGAAACAGGCGTCGTAGTGGTGCATTACGTGCATTTCGAAAGGCGCACTGTTGGCGAAGGCAGATGTGGAGTTGTCCATGCAATTCTGTCAACACTTCCACCACCCGCCGATCATGCCGAGACAGGCCAGTCAGACATTAGTGGCACCTTTCAACTCTGATGTAGTGCCGCTGCAACCGCGTCAGAAA